TGAAATGAAAAATCACTTTCACTGTCAGGAACAATGAGCTATTGTAAAAATCAAAGTCATTTGATTAAATTAAACTATTGCCTTTTTCTCTGAGAGGTTTTCTTGATCATTTCCTGCCTTCTGTACTACTACTTAGTTCAGTTTCAGAGCCCATGTTTCTGACTTGTCAAAACATCTCTAGTTCTGTTTTGGGGAGGGTAAACACTTGTTGCAAGACCAGTTGAAATCAGGCTGAAAGATGACTGGTGTTAACTACTCTGCTTTCCTAAGTAGGTAAAGTTTATAGTCGACCTATAAACATTAAAGTAAGTTTGTTTTTATTTTTTCTCATAGCCTGTACCTGTTGCACGCAGACTCTCTGCCCGTGAGCAACGAGACTGCGAAGTGATTGAACGACTTATCAAATCCTACTTCCTTATTGTCAGGAAGAACATTCAGGACAGGTAATAGCTAACTTTACATGGATATCTGAACTTTGCTTGTCTTTTAGTGATATAGCTGTGCCATTCGTTACTGAATATAACATTTGCTTTTGTATTTCTTTATCACTCTTGACAGAGTTTAATAGCTCTGCAGGGAAGAGCTATGGAGTTTGCTTATCAAATTAACGTCTATTTGATAGGCAAAACGCACAGTTTTTCAAAGCATCCAATACTAGTTCTTGTTTTAAAGTGTAATACAACAGAGTACTAACATTTTCATGTAGTTTTGAAGAGTGTGTCTCTCTGCTTTTGTATATGGTACTGTACTGCAATCTGAATTGATGAATAGGGGCAAGTAATTGGTATACATCTAAGGTCCAGTCAAACATTCATAGAACTCATCTTTGCAGCCACCAGCCTTCAGTCTGAGGAGGTTCATGTATAATTTTCAGCTAGCATGTGCCAATCCTTAGCCAAACCGTAGAGTCTTTAAAGTTGCTGTTGCACAGTTTTTTGTGTTAAGAATGAAGTGACTAATGGTTTTATTACTGAAAACTTTACAGAAAAGTCAGCAATTTATCCCTTCTTTATAGGCAAAGTAAAAAGAATTCTATAATTGGGCGCTTAGATCCATGTTTCCATGGATCTAAGAGCAGGGGCATGGCCAAACTCTGTTTTGGGTAATTATTTTCTCCTTATCTAATACCTCAAATTTTGAAATTCCCATCACTTCTTGCTGTGTGGTGCCTTAAAAGCAGCATCATCCCATGAATAGGGCAGTGGCAGATCATTTCATCTACATAGTTGCCTAGTTTTACAACAGGCTACATAAAAAGCATTAGTGAAGTTAGCAAATACTAAAATTTCATAAACAATTTGTTTATACTGCTCAATATACTCTACACTGAAATGTAAGTACAACGTTTATATTCCAATTGATTTATAATTGTATGGTAAAAATGAGAATGTATGCAATTTTTCAGTAATAGTGTGCTGTGACATTTTTGTCTAATTCTGTAAATTTTTAAGTAAGGTAAAACTTGGGGTACACAAGACACATCTGACCCTTGAAAGGGATACTGTTGTCTGGAAAAAGTTAAGAGGAACTGGTATAGGGTAATACCAGGGAATTGGTAGAGCTGTCTTCTGTTCAGAGCTCTTTTGTTGACCTGCTGTGTGACCATGGACAAGTACTTCACTGTGCTTCCATTTCCCTTTTCCTCCCTTCTATGGTCTATTTTTAGATCAGCGGTGGGGTACCTTGTTTGGGTCAGTGGCCCTGACCCACAGAAAAATCAGTTGAGGGCTACACACAAGTGAGAAAACAAAACAACCCCCCCCCCCCCCCCCCTAACCTGGCCCCCAAGTGAGGAGGAAAATCCCCCCACACTATGTCCCCCAACTTGAGAAGCAGGGAGAAAAAAAGACACTCACTTCACTCATGACCTCGAGAGGGAGGAGAGAGGATTCCCCTTATGTTCCAGGCTCAGGGCTTCCACCCAGGGTTGGATTAACTCTTATGGGACCTCTCTAGACTCTGAGAAATTCAGTGTGCAGGAGGGGCTGCCAGGAAGTTGTCTGGGGTGGAAGGTGTGATGACTGTGCACAAGGTAGGGTGCAGGTGTGTGGTCTGGGTGGGAAGTAAGGTGTAGAAATAGGATCTGAGAGGGAAGGGAGCATGCAGGAAGTGGTAGGGGGTTGGGGTACTTACATGGCACAGGTGGCATGTGCTCCCTTGCACTTGCAGGTGCTGCCTCTAGTTTCTCCCATTAGCTGCGATTCCCATGTAGTTGGGGGGGGGGAGGGGGAAGGGGCCTACAGGTGAGCTCTTCCCTGCGCTGCTGTTGCCCTAGTGAAGCCAGGGGCAACAGCAGTGTACAGAGCTCGCTACCTCTCCATGTCAGGCAGAGCTGGCCATGCAGGGGCTTTAATACCAGCTTCTTGCTGCTTCCCTCTGTAGCAGCGAGCCAGTGTTGGCATTGTAGCCAGACATGGGGGTGTCAAGGCTCAGACTTGCCATGGAATTGGTGCGCCAGTGCTGGCTCCCTCTGCTGCAGGGGAAGGGAAAGCCCCAAACTTCGCAGGCTGGATCAAGGCAAGCTGGGGGCTAATTCCAGCCTGCAGGCCGTAGATTTTCCCATCCCTTATTTAGATATTGAGAGAACTTGCTGTGAAGAGCTTAGTGTTTTTATAGTGCCTAATACAATGGGGGCTCATCTTGATCAGGCTTCTAGATGCTACTGTAATAAAAATAATTTAGACTTAGTAGTTGGTATAGAACAGTTCAGGATTTTACAGATGGGAGTACAGTACACGCCACAGTTTTACTGCACACAGTTACTTTACAGGTAGTTAGGACATATTGCTATGAGATTCTTGTCAAAATTCTGTATAATTGTTTACATTGGTATATGTAGATTTACTCAAACTGCATGTTGAATCTAGATTAGCTTATGCCCTAGCTTTATGTGGCTTGTTTGATATTTTGTTATTTTATTATTTATGTAGTTTATTTATTTATTAGTATTATTGTTAGTTATTATTACTATTATTATTTTTGCTTACAGCGTGCCAAAGGCGGTGATGCATTTTTTGGTGAATCATGTGAAAGACACACTTCAGAGCGAGCTAGTTGGACAGCTGTATAAATCCTTGTTGTTAGATGACCTTCTTACTGAATCTGAGGACATGGCACAACGCAGAAAGGAGGCAGCTGACATGTTAAAGGTAATGAAAACTAAAACACCCAGGCTACGTCTAGACTGGCCACAAATTCCGGAAAAGGGATGCAAATCAGGTAAGTCAGCATAGGGAAATCTGCGGGAGATTTAAATATCCCCCGCGAATTTAAATAAACATGTCCGCCGCTTTTTTTCCGGCTTGGGGAAAAGCCGGAAAAAAGCGTCTAGACTGGCGCGATCCTCCGGAATAAAGCCCTTTATATAAAGCGGCGGACATGTTTATTTAAATCCGCGGGGGATATTTAAATCCCCCGCGGATTTCCCTATGCTGACTTACTTGATTTGCATCCCTTTTCCGGAATTTGTGGCCAGTCTAGACGTAGCCCCAGTGAAGTTACTTAAACTGAAGCATAATGATAAATCTCTTGAGATTTCACGTATATAACTGTGTTCAGGTTTTTGCCATGCTTTTTTGATTCAGGTCAGTTTTTCTTTTGATCTAGTTCAATCTTTTATAGATGCTGTACATGGGCAAGAAAACAAGAAGGAAATACTCGTACATCATGTGTTATTAATTTAGCTCTTGGAGTAAGCCCATCCATAGCTTTTCTAGATTGGTATTATCATTCTTTTATAAAGGAGTTTTAGAATAGTCAACTTTTTGAAGTTTTCCAATATAATCCTTTAAAGCTCTAACTCTCATGACACAATTTCCTTTTGAAGGTGGGGTTAAACATTCTCTTCTCTCCTCCCACGCCCAAATCCACACTTATTTCTGTGAAGAATACTGCACTCCTATCTTTTGATTAGGGACATATTTTGTGAGTATGACTGTGACTTTGGATGCTACACCTGTTTCTTGTACTGCAGTGAGTTTAGGCAAGTGCATTAGCTATTCTAGATTCAACATGAAAAGGGAAATAAAGTCAACCCGAGGAATTACAGACAAGTCAGACTTTATCTTTCCAGGTACAGAAGTTTATGGGGTAAATAATTAAGCAGTCAGTTTGCAAACATCTGGAAGATAAGATGGTAAGAACAAATCATGCCACACCAACCTGACAGCTTTCTTTGGCAGGGTAACAAGCCTTATTCATAATAAGGAAGTTGTAGAAGTGGTATTTCTTGATTTTTTTAGTAAGGCTTTTGATACTGTCTCACATGACCTGCTCATAAACAAACTAGGAAAATACAACCTAGATGAAGCCATTATAATACAGGTGCATAATGGTTCCCAAAGAGTAGTTATCAATGGTTTACAGTCATGCTGGAAGGGCATGAGTGGGATCCCGCAGGGATCAGTTCAGGGTCAAGTTGTGTTCAGGGTCAAGTATCTTCATCAGTGATTTAAAATAATGCACACTTACAAAGTTTGTGGACAGAGGGATTGCAAGTGCTTTGAAGGACAAGATTGTAATTAAAAAATTATTTGGACTAGGGATGTAAAAATGTAATGTTGAACCAGTTAAAGGCAGGGGCTGGAAGCTGCTCCAGGCCCCACTGGTTAACCAGTCACATCCCTAATTTGGTCAAACTGGAGAAATAATCGGTGGTAAATAGAATGAGATTCAATAAGGACAAATGCAAAATACTTCAGTTAGGAAGGAACAGTCAGTTGTACATGTACAAAATAGGAAACGACACCCCAGGAAGGAATACTTCAGAGAGGGATGTGGGCAATCATAGTGGACCATGAGTCAATAGTGTGACATTAGTGGGGGAAAAAAAGGGAAATTTGAAGAAATTGGGTTCATTTAGTCAGGAAAAGAGAAGACTGAGAAAGGAACATAACAGTTTTCAGATACCTCAAAAGTTTTTACAAGAAAGGAGAAATTGTTCTTTTTAACCTCTTAAGGATAGGACAAGAAGCAATGGGCTTAAATTTCAGCAGTGGAGTTTTATGTTGGACATGAGGAAAATCTTCCTGTCAGGGTGGTTAAGCGCTAGAATAAATTGCCTAGGAGATTGTAGAATCTTCATCATCTAATGTCATAAAAAAATCTCGACACCTTTTAGGAATGATCTAGATCAGTGATTCTCAACCTTTTTCTTTTTTTTTTTTTTAATAAAGTACCCCATTTTAAAAAAGTACTCAGTACCTACAGTTTTCAGACACACAATTTTTTTCTACTATTGCAACACATTTGGTTAAACAACTCAATCGTTGCGAGGTGGGCGATAACATTTTTGGGTGTAAAAAGTACAAAAATAATAAAGTGCTGTAAAACTTAAAACAAAAATTCAGTTTTCCCCCAGACTTCTCTTGAGTACCCCTAACCTAAGGGCACTCGTAACACTGATCTAGATAATACTTAGTCCTGCTGTGAGTGCAGGGAACTGAACTAAATGACTCGACCTCTTGAGGTCCTTCCAGTCCTATAATTCTAACAATACAGTAAAATTGTTTTTTTTCCAAATTTCTAATTTTCCACTAGTTTTTGGTGTACTTAATACTGCCAGTTCCATTCCTCTGCTCTGAATTGGCATAGAGAAATATGTTTCTTCTTCGAGTGGTTGCTCATGTCCATTCGAAGTAGGTGAGCGCATCGCATGCACTGCATCTTCCGGAGCATTTTCCCTAGCGGTACCCGTAGCGCTGGCAGGGCGCCCCCTGGAGTGGCGCCGCCATGGCGGGGCATAAGTACCCCTGCCGGCGCTGCCCCACCTCAGTTCCTTCTTACCGCAGTGATGGTCGTTGGAGTGTCTCTATATCTCTGTCTCTTAGTTAGTTAATGGCTCCTGTTCTCACATTGGTTTGTAAATAGTTCTTGTAGTTAGATAGTTAGGTTCTTTGTTTTGTTCCTTCCCCCTTGGGGGTAAGGAATGCCAGGGCTGCAAGGCTTCAAGACATGCGCTGACTGCGGGAAGTTTATGCCCAGGGGCGACCCACATGACAGTTGTCTTAAGTGCTTGGGTGAGGCTCATCTGGCTATTGCCTGTAAGATCTGCAAGTCCTTTAAGCCCCGTACCAGAAAAGAAAGGGTTTCCCGCCTGAAGCTTCTCCTCATGGAGACAGCGCTTCAACCGGTGCCGCAGGAACAGCCTGCAGTGAGCAGCGCATCGGCTTCCACACGGGAGGCTCCTCACTGGCACCGTGCATCGGCGTCGAAGTCTCGGCACCGGTCTCACTCTCCTCCGACTAAGAGAGTGAAGAAATCCCGGGGAAGGTCCCCTTCGAAGAAAGCGACTTTGGCTGGGCGCCGCCAAGGAGGCCTCGATAGTCCGGGTCGCCTGCCTCCACACTGCCCGTCCACGCCGGCTACGTTCGAAGCGGCGCAGGACCTTATTAGCCTCACGACCTCCCCTCCATCCTCGGTTGACTCGGAAGGGTCGAGGCCGCACACCGACTCTAGGCTCCATACCCTAAAGGACACAAGGTCCACCTTGAAGTCCTTGGGCATCCACACGCCGGCCCCGCAGCTGCAGCAGCTGCCCTATAGGCAGCAGGGGAGAGCGCAGCCCCAGGTCCCCCGTGGGGATTACTGGAGGCACCGCTTCCTGGCCTCCGATGGAGGTTCCAGGGCGGTTGCGCACCCTCAGGGGGCTAGGGGTCGACATCGTTGCCCCAGGACCAATACCCAGCGGGGAGGTCCTCACGGTCCTTCCCATCAGGGCAAGCCCCAATTTTGATGCCCTGTTCGAGAGTCCTGTACCAATCTCCCGCCCTGGCCCCCCGTTTGGGGCCAGGCTATCCCTTTTTGCCCATGCTTGGGCCATAATAACATCGGATGCCTGGGTTCTGAACATAGTAAATGGAGGCTATTCTATCCCTTTTCTAGGCTCACCGTCCTCAAAACCCCTTTATCCGGCCTTAGTAAGGGACACCCCTCACGAACACATCCTGTGCCAGGAGGTGTCTGCGCTCCTCAAAAAAGGAGCAATAGAGGAGGTTCCTCTGCATTTGCGAGGAAGGGGTTTTTACTCCCGTTATTTTGTTGTCCCCAAGCCGAAGGGAGGGTCCGCCCCATCTTGAACCTCCGAGATTTAAACAAGGCGGTCATAAAATACAGGTTCAGAATGGTGACTTTGGCAACGGTCATCCCAGTGCTACAATTAGGAGACTGGTACGCGACTCTCGACCTCAAGGTGTACTTTCACGTGTCGATCAGACCCAGCCACAGGCGGTTCCTCAGGTTTATGGTGGGCCAATCCCATTTTCAGTTTACGGTGCTCCTTTTTGGTTTATGTACGGCACCGAGGGTATTCACGAAATGCATGGCATGGGTTGCCGCATATCTCCGCAAACAAGGGGTGCACATGTTCCTGTACCTCGACGATTGGCTGATCCGAGTTCGCTCGTACGGGCAGGTAGAAGCTCACGTGGCACTCACAAGAGCCCTTTTCCTAAGGTTAGGACTCATGATAAATGTCAAGAAGTCATCCCTGACTCCCTACCACCAGATAGAATTCGTGGGAGGCCTCCTCAATTCGAGGGTGGCAAGGGCGTTCCTGCCAAAGGGCAGGTTCCTCTCCATATTGAAGCTGTTCTCGGGGTTAACCTGGTTCCCTATCACGACCCCTCGGGTTTGCTCCAGGCTCCTGGGCCATATGGCGGCATGCACATACACAGTCCGCCATGCCAGAATGAGAATGAGACCCCTGCAGGCGTGGTTGGCGAGGGCCTTCAGCCAATCCAGGGGTCTTTGGGATTCGATAGTTACGGTGCCCACAGAAATTCTGGACTCCCTCCTATGGTAGACCAAGGAAACTGTGGTACGCAGTGGGGTTCCTTTCAACGCCCCTCCCTGACGTTGGTCACCGATGCGTCCGACCTGGGCTGGGGAGCACACCTGGGGTGGCACAGGACTCAAGGTCTTTGGTCCCTCTCCAAGCGAGCCCTACACATAAACGTCCGGGAATTGCGGGCGGTGAGGAGAGCCTGCAAAGCCTTCCAGCCAAGGCTCGCCCATTGCTCGATCCTGGTTCGTGTAGACAACACAGTGGCGGTTTTCTACCTCAACAAGCAGGGTGGGGCGTGGTTGCCTCCCCTTTGCAAAGAGGCCCTGCAACTTTTGCACTTGTGCGTCACGCACGATATCACACCTCAGGCGGAATACCTCCCGGGGTGCAAAAACCTGCTGGCGGACACGCTGAGCAGATCCTTTGGAGCCCACGAGTGGTCGCTCAAGGACTCTGCTCTACGCCAGGTTTTCCGCAGGTGGGGTTATCCCCGCCTAGACCTGTTCGCCTCGGCACGCAATGCCAAGTGCAGGAACTACTGTTCCCTGCTGGGGCTGGGGAAATATTCCCTGGGGGATGCCCTGACGACCGTGTGGCCAGAGGGTATTCTCTATGCATTTCCCCCATTTCCCCTAATTTCCAGGGTATTGACCAGGGCGAGGACCTTTTGGTCCTCGATCATTCTCATAGCCCCCAGGTGGCCCAGACAGTTCTGGTTCCCCATCCTAGTGGACATGCTTATCCAAGACCCAATAGCACTCCCTCCAGTCAGGGACCTGCTAACTCAACCCTGGGGCAAGGGGATCATGGTTCACCCGGATCTCCAGTCTCTCCACTTAACGGCATGGTTTATCCGTGGTTGAGCCAACCTGAAAGGGAATGTTCCCAAGAGGTTCAGATGGTCCTCCTCAGTAGCAGGAAACCCTCTACTAGACGGTCGTACGCTGCCAAGTGGCGGCGCTTCTCGTCTTGGGCGTCCTGGAGAGGAGTACACCCGTCCTCGGCTCCTATTCCAACTTTTCTTGACTACCTTTTCCAGCTTCGGTCTAGTGGCCTATCTTTCTCTTCTATCAAAGTCCATGTGGCATCTCTCTCCGCCTTCCATGCTGGTATGGCAGGAGTCTCCCTTTTTGCTAACCCGGTGGTTAAACGTTTTCTTACTGGCCTGGGAAAGCTGTACCCCTCGGTGAGGGCCCCGCTTCCCGCCTGGGACCTTAACATGGTCCTCCACAGGCTTTGCTACCTCCCTTTGAACCGCTGGCCACGTGTTCCCTGCTGCACCTTTCATTGAAGGTTGCTTTCATCGTGGCCATTACATCGGCTCGAAGGGTGTTGGAACTAAGGGCGCTAACTGTAGACCTGCCCTACCTTGTTTTTTCTCATAACAATGTAAGGCTCTGGCCTCATCCAGCCTCCCTCCCGAAGGTGGTATCACCATTCCACCTGTCCCAGGAGATTTATCTCCCGGTTTTTTTCCCAAAACCTCACGCCTCCTCTAAGGAGCGGGTGCTTCACTCCCTGGACGCCAAGCGGGCGCTGGCGTTCTACATTGATAGGACCAAGCCGTTCCGTAAATCACAACAATTGTTTATTGCATTTGGGGACAG